TTCCTGATGCCATTCGGTGAGTGATTTAACTGTCAATGTAATTGTAAAACATCTTTATTATAAAGAAGTTAAACGATTTTAGGCATTATAACCTAATCTTATCACAAACGTTTATCCATCGAATTATTTTTATTCAGATTTCATATCAAGACAATTAAATGTTGTTTAAACGCCAATCAACAAATAATCCGAGGCTGTTTTATTACAAAAATCATCGGTGGGCAAAGCTAATTGATTATTGGGTAAATAATAATTATAAACAACTGATGAGTAAAACGTAATTATTTTATACAATTAACGTGTGTTCGATTCTACGATTAGTTCTTTCGTGAGGTATTACGCACACGTTCCACCTAGAGTGATGTCTTTGATCTGGCCGGCGTAAAAAAGACAATTACCATGTCTGTGCAACTTTAGTCGGATTGATTAACGACACTACACTTGCCATATTATTATCAATACACAAAGATAGTTAGATAGCCCTTCTCAATCTGTTATTCCATTTAGATGGTTACCAACAAAATTTATTTGTACTGTTAATTCTAAAGTATATTGAGATAATAATAATAATAATAATAATACATTCTTAATATAGCGCATTCTACAAACATAACATAAATATCACTAAAAATGCATGGCAAAGTCTCAACGCGCTTTACAGAGACATGGGTTATAAAAATATATATTATGATTTAAAAATACAACGATGATATGGTGTTTATATAATAACGTCTAGTGAATAAAAATACTTAAAAGCCAGTAAAGGTGATTTTGACTAGTAAGATATTTCGTCACATGATTCAGAGAATTGATCAGCAAGTGAAATGACGCTTGAAGAGCATGGTTTTAATTGAACGTTTAAAAGTATCAATGTCATTCTCAGCGCGAATCTCAGTAGGGAGATTATTCCATAATGAAGGTGTATAGTGTCGAAAAATCCTATTTCCGTAAAATTTATTGTTCGTTCTCTTGTGTTCTCCGATGGGATAGTCCAAAGACGGAGCCTGGTTGAATCTGGTAGATTTCGGTGGTTGTTTTACGGACAAGAGTTCGCTCAGATAGGCCGGACCCATATTGTTCACTACCTTGAAAATAGTTAGTAGCACTTTAAATTCAACACGCTCAACTATGGGGAGCCAATGGAGATGGAAAAGCACTGGTGTGATATGATCAGTCTTTTTCGTTCGAGTTACCAACCTGGCTGCTGCATTATGTAAACCCTGGAGTTTCTTTGTTTGTGCAAGGCTAATGTTATGATACAGAATATTACAGTAATCCAGTCTGGAAGTGATCATGGCATGCACTAGTTTCTCAGTAGTTGTCGGACTAAGAAGTCTACGGATACGCCCAATCTTGAACAGTGCATACGAAACACTACGACAAGTCTGCTGAACAAAACTTTCTAGGGAACAATCTGAATTAAACATTACACCAAGGTTTCGAACTGAATTCGAAGGTACAATAAAATCATCACCGACTCGGACGGACTCAGTGGATGTAGTGTTACCAAAACGAGATTTGAAATGAATAATTTCAGTCTTGGAATCATTTAGCACCAGTTTGTTATCAAACATCCATGATCGTATCTCATCGATACAGGCTTCAATGGCATCTAATGATACAGATGGATCCTTGCACGTAAAATACAATTGACTATCATCGGCATAGATCATAGCATCCAAACCATGTTTAGTAATAATTTCTTCGATTGGGGCGGTATACATAGTGAATAATGCTGGACCTAAAATTGTGCCCTGGGGTACACCGCGTTTTAATTGCATTTGGCGAGAAATACTATTACCAACAATAACTGACTGACTTCTAACTGTTCCTAACAACCCAAAGCGGATCTCTAGTCTATGTAACAGCTTCACGTGATCCAGAGTGTCGAAAGCGGCACTAAGGTCAAGGAGTGAGAGTATCACATGAGACCGTGAATCTAGGGCAGTGACTACATCATTGTGCACACGGAGTAGAGCTGTCTCACAGCTATGGTTAGGGCGATAAGCAGATTGACATTTAGTATATAGAGAATTTTGGCACAGATATTCATGTAAACGAGACATGACAACTTTTTCTAAGATCTTAAAAACGAATGGAAGGTTAGAAACAGGGCGGAAATTCTTAGGACCTTTTTCAAAAGTGGCAGTTTTAAAAGAGTCTGGCACTATCCCTGTTAAAAGACCACATCTTTTTACTCCTGTACTCTTTTACTCGGGAAATACAACTACAATACTCTTCAGACGAGAGGGGGAGAGAGCGAGAGAGAGAGAGAGATGGAGTTTAACGTCCACTCGACAAAAACTAGGTCATTTCGAGACTAACATATGGCTTAATTTTGTTTCAATAATTCGCTTGCGCGTAGGGGTATTTATCAGTTGGGACCCGGAGAAAACCCACGAGGTTGGACAGGCGACCCTAATCCTTGTCACGTACAACCGGGATTCGAAACCACGTCAGTTGACACAATCCCAGACTTTATGATACAGCGCGCATACGCTAACCATTTAGCCCCCCTTCCATCCTCTTCTGCCGAAAATGTATCTCGAATCGTTAGGACTGCACATTGCAACAGAGCAGATTGGCAGAATATATCTCAGCACTCAAATTCTTGTCTTCTCGTTGTCTGTTAGCATGGACTTAGCCAAGGATTCTGGGGGCTATCGCTCCTAATTTGTGGATCTTTTACTTTATTTACCCGTCTAAAGAAATACATTTGTATGATATATTTATATAAAATTAAATCAACTTCCTGATAACCTTATTAAATATTTTTCAAAACACCATTATTTTTTATCTTTTCCATTAAGAATTTCCATATGGCAAAATTCCCTTATTACACACTGTTTGTTTGTTCAATTAGGAAGGGGCAAATCAGCAGGGGCTAATGAGTATAAAATCAGTGTAATACGCACCTGTAGATTTTTGAAGTAAATGTCTTGTCCAACTATTACCTGAACCAGGGTAGCTAGCCAGAGCTGTCACAGGTAACGGTGTTTTGGCAAATCCTAGCTTAGGGCAATTCTTAGGTTTTTCAATGATGTTGGAATATGACGTAACGCTTCTCGGGTGTAGTTTATAAACACTATAGATACAGCAAATAAGTAGAATTAGTCCAGCAATCGCTAATGTTCTGTTCGACCTTCGTTTCGTCAACAAAGTTCTGAAAACCGCCATATGTGTGTGGTATGTCGAATAATTGCTGAAATTAAAGCAAAACGGTTGACCATAAAAGAAGGTTCCGTTAGAAAGATAGTCAAATTGATCCACTCTGAACCGTGATTTTAGCGATTGAATTTTCGGCCTTGCCTCGATCATCATTACTAAAGTTGGTACGATAAAAAAACATAGTTTCGATTATCTATTTCATGATTAAATCATGAATGGAAGTCGAGTAGCAAATCGGAACCTAATCTAATAAGCATCACAATCCAATCTAGCAATGACAACGAGAGTTGATTATGGTCTGGATAAGTTAATTAATGTCTAATTAATAATTTAGATCACATTTCAGGCCTAAAGAAAGACCTGCACTAGGCAGATTTAAATCTTGCATAATGTATGTTTAAGGTAAAATAAATTTATATAAAGTGATTTTGGTGATGCTACAGGTTTTTTATTATTATTTTGTCGTATGTGAATCAGCCATACTAATTACTTCCGCAATGTCTTGTATGATATAGTATTGTAACAGTTTGGCCTGCGCTGTTTAGAAGTAACACCATATTCACCATTTTTATACGATTTATTCAATACAACCATGAAATAAATACACGACCATTATTTACATTAATCAGGTAACCTTAGTGTTGGTTATAAGAAGGGTCTTGTGGGGGGTGGGAGATAGCCATAACGTCATTTATTCTAATGTCCAGTGCCATGCCTGACAATGTTCAGCCTGACAATTGACGCTGTAAGTCCTGACAAGTTCGCCCTGACAACCCGCCATGCCTGACGGATTGCTTAGGCTCAATTACGTTATGATCATACAAAAACGTCAAGGGGAGACGGTTCTACCAGGATGGTCTTTAGCGCCGTCATAATTCCTTTTGTCAGGCCAGCTTTAAGAGGTCCTTACCCTAGGCTGCCGTAGAGCTATCTGCCGACATCGACGACATGACGTCCTTTTATAGGCTGCAGGCAGAGCTATTGACCAACCACAGGCTCGCATTCTGCCTGACAAGGACTACGTTTTCCTGACAAGTTAACGTTTTACAATAATATGAAAATTAATAAAGATGTTCATAATTAATCATTGCATTACATGTAAGTAACCTATTCTGAATCTAAAATCAAAGTAATGTACAATTAGACCAGCGCAAATACATTAATGAAGAAACACCTAGCCCATGAATCGTGCGTAAGTCTTAGCTTACAGCGACGAGGTCCTAAAGAATTGGAACTACCTAAGAACAGCAAGTAGGCCTACTTCAAAATACTTAATGGATCTAATATAATAATGAGATGTACAAAGTAAGTAACAAAAGTAACAAGCATTGTAAGGTCATGAATTTATTATAATACACCATTAAATTAACGTGAGAATGATCATGTTACTATCACTAACTATCCCTAGCAACCATATTACTACGCCCGTCTCGTCTGACTCGAATGCACACAGCATCCCACGCTAACAATACATTCATATGTGGATATTATTTGAATTGCTATCGTCCCCTTATATCCAGTCGCATAGTAATACATCATGACATGCCTTACAAATCCGGCTCTAAGTACCGATGTTCTATAATCTAAGATACGACTTGCTGTCGTCAACGTAAGTAGGCTACATTAGGCAAAACAAAATTGTAAACAATGAGAGCGTACGGCTCGTTCTATTTATAGTAACAATTAAACCTTTCAACAATGGCAAAGGCAACACTAATATAGTAATAATACCAACGATAAATACTTAACAAATGCAATAATAAAACAATGTGAAGATGTAACGATTGATTATTAACATATGGTACACAGCATTACCAGTGATCAGTGATAATGAAATAATAACAATAATTAAATCTAACCCCCCCCCTTATATATAACACTCTCCCCACCTTAAATATACACAATTCTCCTGAATTACGTACCAATTAATAAACATCGAATCTCGCGATACGACTAACACAACGTCCAAATAATGTTATTTTAACGTCATACTGATAACTGGGTATTATTTGAAATTATTCCACGATGTAATAAATGTTTAATATCACTAGCACAAACGTAAGCATGCTTTTAATTCTTCTTATCTATACCAGGTAGCTGCACGTTAGAATAATCAGTTCGAAACACAATTTAATTAAACAGTTCTTTCTATAATCGAAGCAACGATGAATGTCCACTGATAGCAAATCCCGACGTAGAACGCGATGAGCCCAAAAACACTTCTCAGTTCTGTAGATTTCTTGTTAAAATATACCATAATTCTTCTGTGAAACGCGCACAATGTTTAGGTTTTTTTTTTACACAAGTTCTATAATTTCGCAAGGAAGCGACAACGGATTTGTTATTGGTCCAACTGGTCCGATATCCAATCAGTATCATTCTCCCTATGAATAGCTGTTGCTTCCATCATTTTTATGAATGTGACATCTTGATGTTGGGTAACGTTTCCATTTACAATCTTCTTAATCATCTCTTCGTTGCAATGGCGCATCTGGCATACTTGTTTTGAACTGCTGGTTAATGGTGGTCTAGCGGAGCCAGGTAATGACAGCATTTGGTACTTGGCGATGAGGTAGGTACGGTCCCAATTTTGTGTTTGGGCTCGTAGGCTGTTAAGCTGGAAGGCCATCGTTTCAAGTGCAAACAGCTTTTGATCGGGACTAAACTGCTCCCATCCTTGAGGTGGCCAGAATAATGGCTGTTGCGAAGCTTCTGAGTTTAGTTGGAATCTGGTAACACCTCTCCAGTCTCTTTTAGCGGGTGGTAGGATGGGCATGATACCTCTCTTGAATAAGGTCAAGACTCCTTCCTTATCACTGTTTACCTTTCGTGGGTTATACTCAGATACATTGAGTGACAATGCCGGTGAAAGACTACCTGCTGGCGTGTCAAAAACAGCATCGATGTTAGTTACTAGGTTATTGGCGCTAGAAGAGGCATCAGGAATCAGATCACGTACTACAATGGGTAATTCTTGTAAATCTTGTCGGTTGTTGTTGTTTATATCCATCACAGTGTTCTCACCCGGGAGTTCATGATGACCTAAATCTGTGGTGTCTGCGGAAAGATTTGCTGGATCGTCCGCCTCATCTGCATGTGCTGTGCTGGGGATAGAATCTGTTTCTGCAACTGGAGTACTGGAAACAGGCATCGCCAATGCCCTACTAATGTGCATGAGGAATTCAACCGGAATACCCAGCGTGCCAGATATCTGTGATTCAAGTTTCGGATCCGGTCTTGCCATAGTTGTCATGATTTCTGGAGGTGATGTTATATTCTCCCCCGCAGCAGGCACTCTTCTGAACAAACTGGTCATGGCCTTGTTGGATAGGTTTGGCGAAATGGAGCACTTGTACCATACTGAGCGTTCTTCGTTAAGTAGGAAGGCCTCAAAACCAACGGGTTTCATGACAATGCTGTGTATGGACAGCGACGTCTGCTCTATTGATGGGTTCTCGGGATCATAGTGAACTTTCTTTGGAGGCGGGGTCCCTTCGTAATCAGGGACAAAACTGCTCTCACAGGGTATGGTAGGTGCTCTGTCTCGTTTGTTCGAAGCTGAATCCCATCCTCTTTCGAAATCTTTCAACTTGGTGCTATTCCCTCTGACGAAGTCAAACCATCCTCGCACCATTTCTCGGGCCTTTCTCGCTTCATCTGACGACCTTGCTGTATTAGAGACAATCCGTAAATAGTCGGCGGGGTTTATGGACAGCCAGAATCCGTTGCTCTCGGAAAAAAACTCTTTGGAGAGTGTGGTGAAAACCTTTGGATGGTCCCTTTGGTAATGGTCTCTCAATTCGGGAACTGACCTCCGAAACAATCTTTCTCTCGGACAAGATGGGCATACCACTCTTAACGCCCCGTGCTCTCTGTTGGCCATGTGGTTCTTCCTCTCCCGGTTCGTCTTAAAGACCATCGTGCACTTCCAACAATTGAATTTTAACTCGGTACTCATTCTGAAACAAATAATTACATAAAGCTTCCGTAGGAGAGTAGTTTAACAAAAATAAACAGGCAATCAGTCAGTCGTCAAGGATAACTGTCACGGAAGGAACCAACACTAAGATGACATAACTTGTAAATAGTGATTTTGACAACACCAGGAACTCAATAGATGTTCAGCCCAAGACCTCGTAACCATCGGGTAAATTAAAGTTGCTACCATCAGCTAAATTAAAGTTGCTACCATCAGCTAAATTAAAGTTGCTACCGTCAGCTAAATTAAAATTCCACTGTTCTTCAACAGCTACGGTTGGTTTCCTCTGGGTGATCAGGCCAGTTACTCCCAAAATCCCGTGGTACCACATTCACGCCTCCCATGGGCCTTCCGCCCTAAATAATAAAATATAAATTGGTTACTCAAAGAAAGGTTCAGAGGGTTGATACCATAATTTCACTGTTCACTACATTTCGTTCCTCTTTATCGCATCTCGTGAATCGCTGTATCCAGTTTGGTATATTCCTTCCATGATACAAAGCCAGTTTGTCTATGTGATATACTTTCGGCGACTGCGTTCTACTTCTCTTAACCTTATAAATGACGTCGTTTATTTGTTTTGTTACCAAGAAAGGACCCTTCCAAGGTGATGTAGGCTTCGAACAGACTCCCACTTTTCGAATCGGTTCGTAAATTCACACCGGTTGACCAATAGCTAGATGTCTTCTCTGGGCACGAATGTCATAATGCTTCTTCTGGTATTCCGAGCCCCGTTTTAAGCATCTTCTCGCTACGTCGTGACTCACAGAAAGCTTCTTTTTGAGAGCTTCGATATAATCTTCACTATTTCTCAACACAGGATCGTTCTCTTCGGGTACATTGACAACAGCTTGGAGTGGCATCGTGATTTCTCTTCCCAGTGTCATCATGTTCGGAGTTTCAGATGTAGTGGCGTGTACTGATGACCTATAAGCCATCATTACTTGTGGAAGAAACTCGTCCCATCTGCGTTGGTCACTCTCACTATACATGTTCAGCATCGCAGACAGTGTTCTGTGAAATCGTTCGATATTTCCATTGGATTGTGGCCTTAGTGCTGTTGTTCTGGTTTTGTCAATTTGCAAAAGCGAACACATCTGTTGGAATACTTTTGATTCGAAATTAGTGCCACGGTCTGAATGGAGTTGCAGTGGTGTACCAAACCGACACACAAAGTTGTCTACGAATGCCCTCGTTACTGTTATGGCTTCCTGGTTCGGTAGTGGTACGGCCTCGGTCCATTTGGTAAAGCAATCACACATCGTCAAAACATACCGGTTTCCGCTTGATGTTTTAGGCAGTGGTCCGAATATATCGATCTCAACCCGTTCAAACGGTTCTCCAACCAAGTAACTTCGAAGAGGAGCGCGTTTTCCAGTAGGTTTAACTTTCCTCGAGGCACATTTGTCGCAGGACCTGCAATGATTCTTCACAGATTCATTCATACCCGGCCAGTAAAATCCCATCTTTATCCTCTCAAGCGTCTTCTGGGTCCCAAGATGACCTGATGACGGTATGTCGTGCGAATATCGAAGAACCAATTGTTGTTTCGTTGTGGGAACCACTAATTGCAGCCCCCCCCCCTCTATTTTCTGACTCCCGATTCCGATAAAGTAATCCTCCCTTCAGCACCAAACTTTCCCACTGGGCCCATAAGGTTTTCAGATGCTTGGTGGCGCTCGATATCTCTTCCCAGGTTGGACGATCTTCACCAGCTTCTAAAGCCGTCATTATTCGACAAATATCGGGGTCCGCAATCTGCTGTATCCGTAGCTCTTCAAGACTCCACCCAGTCAATAACTCACTATGGTCTTTGAATTCTTTTTCCTGTTGGCGGGTTACTGCTCTCACTTTTCTGTTATTTTCGTCTGATGTGTAATCTGTGGCTCACATGTGAGATCACTATCTCGCAGTTCTTGTTCTGTATCATCGTTGTCACCATTGAGATCTTCTTGCCTTTTACAAGATTTACACGGGTTTCTACTAAGAGCATCAGCATTCTGATGTAGATGTCCTGCTCTGTGGTTAACCACTAGGTTGTAGGTCTGTATTTGTTCTAACCACCGCGCAACCTGAGCATTAGGCGACTTCAAATTCTTCATCCAGCTTACTGCGGCATTGTCAGTACGAAGAAGTACATTTTGCCCATATAGATACGAGTGAAAGTTTTTCAGCGCTGTAACTACTGCTAAGAGTTCTTTTCTCGTTACGCAGTACGATAACTCGTGCTTGTTTAAAGATTTACTCATATAGGCGATCACCTGCTCCTTCCCGTTATTAAGTTGTGATAGGACAGCACCAACAGCAAAACTGCTCGCATCGGTGTCTAAGATGAATTCCAAGCCTGGTACTGGATAAGATAAGATTGGTGAAGATATAAAAGCCTGTCGTAGACTTTCAAAAGAACGATGACATTCTGGCGTCCATTCGAACCTAGAATTCTTGTCGGTTAATTTATGAAGGGGTCGTGCTATTGTGGCAAACCCGTTTACAAATCGTCTGTAATATGAAGCTAGTCCAAGGAAGCTCTTTACTTGTTTAGAGGTTTTAGGAACATTCCAATTTTTAATTGCTGAAATTTTGTCAGGGTCAGTCTTTATCCCATCCTTGGACACAACATGCCCTAAGAATTTAACACTTTTCTGGAATAAAGTACTCTTGCTTGGTTTTAACTTTAGGTTTGCATCTTGTAATCGCTTGAACACGTGTTCAAGTCTCAAAAGTGTCTGTTCAAATGATTTCCCCGGAACAATAATGTCATCCATGTATAACAGACATTCCTCCCACTGCAGACCACGTAAAATATCTTCCATGAGCCGTTCAAATGTGGAAGGAGAATTGGTCAATCCGAAGGGCATAACTCGGAACTGGTAGAGGCCTTGACTTGTTGAGAATGCAGTCTTTTCCTAATCGGTTGGATCCATTCCTATCTGCCAAAATCCAGAGTTCATATCAAGACAACAAAACCATTCCATACCAAAAAGTGAATCAAGACATTCGTCTATACGGGGCAGCGGATAGGCATCTTTTGTTGTTACATCATTTAACAACCTGTAGTCAACACAGAAACGGTGGGTATTATCTTTCTTTGTTACCAAAACAACATTCGAACTCCATGGACTGTTTGAGGGTTCGATAACACCTCGATCTAGCATCTTCTTAACCTCTCCAGCTTCTACTTCTCTCTTTCCAATTGGTAACCTTCGAGTTGATTGTCGAATGAGGGCAGCGACTCCAGTATTAATTCGATGTAGTACTCTGTCCGTCCTTCCGAGATCGGCAGACGATTTCGAAAACACATCCCCATACTTTGCTAACAGGAAAGCTAATCTTTTCTGTTCATCTAATCCCAGATGATCTTTACTCCGATTATATAGATCTTCTAAATGCGTTGGAATTTTCGGATTTTCTTCTGTCCCTGATTCTGCTGTAACACTTCTGCATAACCCAGGATGTTCGCCCTCTTCTAAGTATATAGATTCACATTTGCCCAATCTCGCATTTGGATAGACAGTCACCGGCACGTCTTGGAAATTTGTAATTTTAATGGTTCTGGTTTCTGCCTTCATATCGAGGATACCAGTCGTAGCGACAAGACTTGATCCTGGTAGTGTTTCGACTAGTCCCAGTTCACTGGTAATTCCACAAGTAGGCGTCCTTACATCAATCAGCATACTGCTCTTTGCTGGAATATGTGTTGTCTGAGTGGCGTAAACTGTGCATACCATTTCTGCTTCTCCACCAATCCAACATGGCACGTAACCCTTCTTCGTTTCCATTCTCATTTTATCGTAGTCCAATTGGTAGACATGCTCCAAGAGAAAATCTTGACCAAGAATGGCTGGTGCGAGAATATCGCAAACGAGAACTGGTTGCGAGTAAGTCCCTTCACCTAAAAAAATACTCATCTTAACAATGCCATAAGTGCGTAAATTTTTACCGTTAACGTCTTTCAGGGTCAATTCTGAGTTTCTTAAAGAAGGAACTAGTTCTTGTTTTATTTTCAAAAAATACTCGTAGGACATAATCGTATTAGTAGATCCGCTGTCAATTAAAAAGTGTGTGGGAACATCATTGATTCTTCCAGCTGCATAAAATCCATTATAAAATTTACCGCTTGTCTCACCACATGTGCCTAGCCTGTCATAGTTTTTGGATGATGTTTGGTCAGTTACAGGCCTTGTGTCCCCCATCACCTCTCGGCCTACTGAGATGGCGGTTTGGAGTTTCCCTGATTCTGATTCCTAGGATACTTTGCTTCCCTGTTCTGCCTTTGTCTTTCCGGGCAATGTCGTGCATAGTGTCCTGTCCTATTACATTCGTAACAACGCACACTCGTTCGTCTGTCGTCATCGTTCCGTTTCTCAATTCTTTCTAGTCTATCAATAACATCCTTCAGAACCTTATCTATCCCATCCGTCTTCCTCGTTTCCTCATGACCATAGCCTGATTGTATGTTCACCATTCTAACTGATCGTTTCTTCTCCATTCCGTCACCTAGCATGGTTTCGTATCTCTCAATGACGTCTACCGCCTGTGCGACAGTTCGGCAATCGCGATCCAAACATCTACACTTAATCTCCAATCCTATAATTTTGTAAAGCTGGTTCAAAGCAAGTGCCTCCTGTGCTTTTGCATCAAATTCAGGGTAAGCTCGCTGTGCCATCTGACGCAGGTCGTCTCCCAGCTCAGCGATCGATTCGTCTGTCTTTCGTCTCCTGCCTTCTAGTTTAGTCATCCACCTACCACGTTGTCGAGTACTTCCAAATCGGTGACTTAACTCCTTAACCAACGAAGCATACGTTCTCTTCTCACGCGATGATAAGTTAAGATAGAACCCTCTCGCGGATCCCCTCAAGCTTGCAGCTAAAGTTAACATTCTACATCTCTCCCCCCAACTGCCAAGCTCTGCACAAATCTCGAAATGACTAATATACGCCTCCCAATCTTCAGATCCAGAGAAGGTTTCCGGTCTCATCTGAACAGTTTTCGAAGTTCTGCGTTCCCCGGTTTCATTTACACGATCGACACCAGTCGTTTCTATAATTTGCCCATCATCGCTTGCATCAGAATAAACATCTAGATCATCTTCTGCAACGGACACATCACCCTGACCTAACCCAGGAGCGTCTGGTAAATTTGGTTGAGTTTTAAAAACTATCTCCTCATCGGGCGTCTCAGCCATCGTTTAATATACTTTGAATTATTTAGTTTAGTTATTCTTCTCCCCTGTAACATATTGTAACATATTTACACAAAATTTTAGTTACATCACCACCACTCACAAAAGCCGGCGTTGGTTCGTATCACTGGATGCCATTATATCTTCGACATCCCACTTTTTACACCATTGTAACAGTTTGGCCTGCGCTGTTTAGAAGTAACACCATATTCACCATTTTTATACGATGTATTCAATACAACCATGAGATAAATACACGACCATTATTTACATTAATCAGGTAACCTTAGTGTTGGTTATAAGAAGGGTCTTGTGGGGGGTGGGAGATAGCCATAACGTCATTTATTCTAATGTCCAGTGTCATGCCTGACAATGTTCAGCCTGACAATTGACGCTGTAAGTCCTGACAAGTTCGCCCTGACAACCCGCCATGCCTGACGGATTGCTTAGGCTCAACTACGTTATGATCATACAAAAACGTCAAAGGGAGACGGTTCTACCAGGATGGTCGGTAGCGCCGTCATAATTCCTTTTGTCAGGCCAGCTTTAAGAGGTCCTTACCCTAGGCTGCCGTAGAGCTATCTGCCGACATCGACGACATGACGTCCTTTTATAGGCAGCAGGCAGAGCTATTGACCAACCACAGGCTCGCATTCTGCCTGACAAGGACTACGTTTTCCTGACAAGTTAACGTTTTACAATAATATGAAAATTAATAAAGATGTTCATAATTAATCATTGCATTACATGTAAGTAACCTATTCTGAATCTAAAATCAAAGTAATGTACAATTAGACCAGCGCAAATACATTAATGAAGAAACACCTAGCCCATGAATCGTGCACACAGCATCCCACGCTAACAATACATTCATATGTGGATATTATTTGAATTGCTATCGTCCCCTTATATCCAGTCGCATAGTAATACATCGTGACATGCCTTACAAATCCGGCTCTAAGTACCGATGTTCTATAATCTAAGATACGACTTGCTACATTAGGCAAAACAAAATTGTAAACAATGAGAGCGTACGGCTCATTCTATTTATAGTAACAATTAAACCTTTCAACAATGGCAAAGGCAACACTAATATCGTAATAATACCAACGATAAATACTTAACAAATGCAATAATAAAACAATGTGAAGATGTAACGATTGATTATTAACATATGGTACACGGCATTACCAGTGATCAGTGATAATGAAATAATAACAATAATTAAATCTAACCCCCCCCCCCCCTTATATATAACACTATTCTTTATTTATTACAAATGCTCACTGTGTCTTAAATATTGAATATTACGACCCCATATGTTCACGGCAAGATAACAACACTAATATTGATTGAAATAGATCAATATGGAATTCTAATTCGTGTTTTTCATTTCGACTATTATAAAAATATTGAGTTAGACTTAGAGGTTTAGCACCTTTAAGAGAAGGCTGTATCATAAAGTCTGTCATTGAGTCGACTGGCGTGGTTTCGAATCCCCGGTTGTACGTGGCAAGGAGTAGGGTCGCCTGTCCAACCTTGTGGGTTTTCTCCGGGTCCTCCGGTTTCCACCCACTGCTAAAGACCCCTACGCGCAAGCGAATTATTGAAATAAAATTAAAACCATGTGTTAGTCCCGACATGACCTAGTTTGTGTCGAGTGGACGTTAAACCCCATTTCTCTCTCTCTCTCTTTAAGAGAAGGGTTCGTACCAGAGCAACCATCTTGCTTCATCTATAAGCTTATATTGAAAATTAAGTCTGATTACTATATTTCAAAGCTTTATTAATAACAAATGCATAGTTAAAAATGGCTGTAATTAATAAAAATACGAGGAAAAGTAAAATACTTATAATGTTCCCTAATATAATTATAACAGCAATTATTCTTGGACAATTTTGCATAAATTCTATTCGTGGATGGGTTAACCATCTATCAAATCGAGTTCATTTGATATTTCTTAGTGGGCTGAATTACATCATGTTACCTTTAGATTCCATTCCGCCATTAGTAGATTGAAGTGTGATTGTATCTAAAAATGACATAAAGAAATTGACTGTACCTTGATAGTGTGTTGGCTTGTGTTTCACGATTCAGTTGAATGATAAGGTATAATGTGTGATACATACATAGATATATCAAACAATATATGTATGTGGTAACACGTGTTTTGTGATTTAACATGTAATAAAATTACTCAGCAATGAAGCGAAATTTTATTTCTTTTCTAACTTCCTTACTATTAAAAACTGTGACAGTATTGTGTCTTTCTATCAAGTTCTGGATGACAACACTGGTTAAACTTCATGTAATACTTTTATTCTGCTTCTAACATATCATGTACAAAACTTAAGACTCCGTAATTAGTTTGTGTTGAGGGAGCCATGGTAATAGCTTGGCTTGATACCCTTGGATGCCAACTCCCAACTAACTTACATGGACGCTGTCTGGTCCCAAGTTTTCCCCTATCAACTTTTCATTTCTGCTTATAAACCACTTTTTAGACAAAGAATGATCGATTGCCATAAGTTAGCCGGTTTTTAAGTCCATAATTCGAGCGTGAAGTCCGGAGATTAATTCGATTTGATAAGCTCGTGGCGTGGCTTCCATATTCCTCTGGCTATAGAAATGAAATAAAATGAAATGAAATGTGGCTTAACGTCCTGTTTATAATACATTTATTGCTTAATCACATAAAACCACACAGTTATTGTTTATGACATATTATATGTTTGAACACAGTATGTTGTTTATATTACATTTATTTTCAAATACATCAAGTTGTTTATAATATATTTATTGTTGTTTATCAAGCTGATTAAAATACAGATCTATATTTCGTTTCGTTTTTTTTTATACTTTCAATGGCCTCTACTACACGAAGATCTGGCCGGTTGCAGTGGAAGGTCGCGTCAGAGGTCACACGAGCGGCTTTTGACCCTATGACGTTGATGATTCTAGTGGGATACCCACAGTTCCGTGCACCGCACGCCAAACACTCACATCATCCGGAACGCAAGTTAAGACAAGTAAAACGAAATTTTGAACTATAAAAATCGAAATGAAATAAGATCTGTGTTTTAGTTAAATTGGTTGTTTATAATACATAATTTAACTTTGTGGTAAAAAACAAATTTTCGGATGAAAATAATCGAAATAAAGATTAATATAACTTCGCATTATGAGGAAAAACGATAATGTCTAGTTTTACAAACGCTTAAACTGACTGACACTATCATAAAGGTATCATTGACTATCATAAATATTACACACAAAGTTTAATTAGTATGATATCTTATCATAAGCACATTAACAATTTCTTGCTTGGGAAGTGCAAAACAACCATTGACGCACCATAAGTGAACACATTTTAAGCAATATGATATCTCATCATAAGGCATAAGCACATTAAAGGACAATATTGGTGTCAGTCATTATCACATTATGTGATAGAACTAATAAAACACGTTCATAATATAATTTTAACACATGTAGAGATCATTGCAACGTGTTTCCTGAATCGGAAGTGACGAACGCCAAAGGAAAACAAGAGTCATCCCTCTATATAACTGACTGAAGTGACGAGTTATAACAGATACATGGGCGAATTTGTGATCACTAATAATTCCTTCCAAAATCAAAAGTTGTTGTGTTATATAACAATAAACAACCAGGACAAAATCTATAAGACTCAATATTCCAATAGAGTTCCTCCTTTTAACTACGTTAGCGATTTCTGCATGTTTTAACATTTCTAAAATCTCGAAATTCTGACCTGTAGACTATTAAAAAAAGACTATGATAATATTCTGTTTAATTTGATTTGTGTCGATCCCGATTCTTTTCCTTCACTATTTTCCGACGTTCCGCCCCTTCCAACATTTTGGCCCTCTCTTTCGCATATTCTATACAGAATTCATCTAGTTGATATTTTTCCGTTGCTTCACTCGGTGACTTTCTCCAAGTTAAAACATGATCCGCCATAACTGGTGACCTTTTCCGCAATTCTTTGGCCACTTCTTCAATGTTTGAGTTCGTGGTGTTAATATAGTCCTTATCATAGAATCTAAATGGAAATTTATCTACGCGATGTGCAATTCCTTCCGGATCATATAGGGCACAATTTATATTTTTAGTCGAAAATCCTAAAAACGGCAAAAGTTCCCTTAATTTGTTTTCTTTGTTCTGTAATAATTCGTCATAAAATAAAACAAACATATCTCCTTTAAATCGAAGCCAATTTATATAAAATTTCTTCCACCGATCTGTTCTATGGAGTATATCATAATCTGAAAGACAATATGTAACCTTCTCTGAACATGTGGGTGCCTGATAAAGATTAAGATATGATATTAAAGATGCATCATGTAAGAGCTAAATCTGCTTACTGCCTTTCTTTTTCTGGCTTTAAAATGGTATATAATCAACTCTCTAGGCAATCGGATTGCTTAGAGTTTGAATGGATTAGAACCACGTGCCATTTAATAATTTAATCATAATAAGTATAATAGCATAGCATCACAAGAGAGACAGAGAGAGTTTGTTTCATTTTAGACTTATAACCAGAGAACTTTAGTTTTTACACTATTCATAATTCATGAGAGATGGGGTTTAACGTCCACTCGACACACAACTAAACCATATCGGGACTAACATATGGCTCAATTTTATTTCAATAATTCGCTTATCGGAGTGGTCCTTAGCGATGGGAGGAAACCATATGTTAGTCCCGAACTGACCTAGTTTGTGCCGAGTGGACGTTCAACCTCTCTCTCTCTCTCTCTCTCTCTCTCTCTCTCTTCTATTCTTATTAATAACATCTGATACAAATAATATCTAATACTTTTTGTTAGATTCTGACATATAGTCTACGTGTATACTTACGTGTACAGTAACGTTTTTTATCCGTTATATTCGTGTGACCCTTGGATGCCATCAGATTGAACCAAGAAAACTGAGCTTCAAATGGATTTCTCATTAACAGAACAGCACGTTTATAAGCTACCTTATCCTTCCGGCGGAGTTCATGAGTTTTTATAACTATAACCGACCCATTAGTAACACCTTCCCCAACATAACCATTTTTGATAATAAACGGATCTCTATATATTGCTCCGGTATATATACCTGAAATATGTTAGACAAGGTTAGAATCTTTATACAGTTACCTTGTGTATACCTGAAACATATATGGTAATATATACCTGAAAAATATTAGACAATGTTAGGATCTTTATACAGTCCCCTCGTGTATATACCTGAAACATATATATATACTATTCAAAAAAAGTAGGGGATATTTGATTTTGGGGGCATAATACTAAAATATGCAAATGACTACGAAAAAAGTCACTATAGAACCTAACAGAAGAAACATTTCCAGTTACATGTGACGCCCAAACGCACCAATAGCTACCGCATGGAATGCAGGTGATGCTTGGGATCATCATGGGGGTCCAACCCAAGATTTGCACGACTCTGACTTTGAATGTTACAGTCATTGTGGCATTGAATTCCAGGGTGGAAACATCAGTTTAATTGTTTTAGTGACCAGAAAACAAATTTTGATATGCGTCGGCTTACCCAAAATGAAAGGTTACGTGCCCTTGGCATGCTACAGATCGGCACAACACAGGCGGTTGTGGCGCGGACGATGAATGTTTCTCAGTCTGTCATAAGCAGGCTATGGTCCACATACCGTGATACACAATCTGTACAGGACAGACCACGCTCAGGTCGACCAAGGGCGACAACTCAAGCCCAGGATCGATTTATCCGTACCTTGGCCTTGAGAAATCGTGTCATCACAGCAAATCAGATTAGCGCTCGTCTTCAAACAGACACTGGTGTGAGAGTGAGTGGCCAGACGATTCGGAATCGACTGCATAGGGGTCACCTTCGCGCCCGACGTCCTCGCGTGATCCCTTGTTTGAGAGATCATCACATTCAGGCAAGACGTCGTTGGTGTAGGGATCGTCAACACTGGGATAATCGACGCTGGAGCAATGTGATGTTTTCAGATGAGTCAAGGTTCACTGTTGATTTTTTGGACAGACGTAGGAGGGTGTGGCGTCGTCGAAACGAGCGCTTCCAAGACGTTAACGTCATCAGACATGATCGATTTGGGGGTGGTTCTGTTATGGTGTGGGGAGGCATAACTGTTGCTGGAAGAACGGCATTACGTGTTGTTGCAGGGCGTGTTACAGGCCAGTACTACCGGGACAACATCTTGGCAGTCCATGTTGTGCCGTTCGCACGACGTCATGGCCGCCGTTTCATCTTCCAGGATGACAACGCGAGATGTCACAGGACCAGGATCGTTACAGGTTACCTCCAACAACAGAACATCACCACATTACCTTGGCCAGCACTGAGTCCCGACCTCTCCCCCATCGAGCATGTCTGGGACATGCTTGGACAGAGGTTACGTCAACGTCAACAACGTCCTGCCAATGTCCAAGAACTTGCTGCTGCGTTGCAACAGGAATGGGACAATCTGGACCAAAATGACCTTAGACGTCTCATTAGGAGTATGCCACGTCGGATCAATGCTTGTTTGGCAAACAGAGGAGGATTTACCAGTTACTGACTTGGTTGTGATGCTGTGGTAACTTTGCTGTTTGACCCCGGGTATCATTTTACCCTTATAATGGCCAGTCTGTGCCTTACTTAGTCTAACGATCATTTGGAATAAATCGATGAATGTGAACTTCATTTCATTTTGTCATTTGTTTCTTCGTCAGTTTCATTAGGTGACTTTAATAACACTTAAAAATCAAATATCCCCTACTTTTTTTGAATAGTATATATATTGATGGGAAGAGGTTATAGAACGGGATTGGGTCATTTCAGAACCCGGCCCCCAAGAACTTTACGGGGCCCTTATTCACGAAAACTTAAACTAAGATACAATCGAAATTTTAAGAAATACTGCAATTCGATTGGCTGACTAGTAAAATCATTTTGCATATATCCAATTTGCATATTGGTCAGCCAATCGAATTGCAGTATTTCGTAAAATTTCGATTGTATCTTAGTTTAAGTTTTCGTGAATAAGGTAAACACTATGTTTCTTAAAATCACTCGAAATGCATCATCAATGGACCCTGCTTATAGATCAAAGCAGGTATATCCTCTGAGGAGCCGCGTAGTAGACTCGGAGAGTAAGG